CTTCAAACAAATAAACAAACAATAGTATATTTTTATATCGATGTATGATAGCGAAACCCAATAAATGTTTTTTTCTTTTCCGTATCGGCTATTCTGTAAACCGCAACTCCACTTGGGTAATCATCTGAATGTAGAAATTCACAGAACGCTAATATTAAAAAAAAAGGTAAATCTTTTTAGCATACCATTTTGTCTCTTTTCATTCCAAGTGTTAAAATTATAACCTCTAAAGCGCTACTATGTTACCAAGGTTAACATACAACTATTTCTTTTGGATGTTCTATTTCTTTTTTGACAGTTAGAAAGGCATTCCTTACAACAACATAATAATAATGCTTCGTTTCACGTTGTATCTCTTTAGCTGTTATAAAACTAGGGAGGAACACACAACCAGAAGACGAACAGCTAGAATGAGTATGCTTGGTCACGTGGTACCTTTCTGATGCTAGCGCAGTGCCAGCAGTTTCGTTGTGCCAGTTTGCTGTGTGGTTCGTGAGGCGAAGAACATGGAAGAAATCCGGCAGTGGTTAATGTCCACACAATAGAAATGCACAAATGAGAATTTCAAAGTAACTTTCCATTCAAGTATTGAAATTTTTATTATGTCTCATATTGTTCAAAATTGAAATTTTAATTAACTCTGTGTTTTAAGAGCGACTGTGGCTCATTGTTACCACTTTTTTTTTCATAGTTAATTCTGTAACAAAATGTTATTTAACCTTCAAGGTATCGAAGAATGGGTAGAACTAGAACTATTTTATAATATTATTATATTGTTTAATTAAAACCCAATGTACTCAGTATAAACAGCGAACTTAAAACAGAAAATTCTGATGGCACGCACATCTTCCTACTTCCATTATGTCTGGTGGATCTTCTTTGTCTCAGTTTTCGTTATCTTACTAGCAAAAGGTAGGTTCTTTCCTTTTCTTAATCATTTATACTGTATTCTTCTGGATTATTGAAGGACACTTTAAATTGTTACTCTTAAGTTATGTCCCTTGGCTGGTCAGCGGAAAGTTTACGAATTTCAATGGTGAAATCCAGGGTTCGATTCCCGCAGTAATAAAGCCCAAATAGCCTGTTGTGAGCTTTACACGACGAAAACAAAAACTTAAATCTATGTTTAATTTTCATATATTCTAATTAAAGTCTATTTTACTTTTCAAAACTGTATAATTTGAATTACTGCTTGTAAGCAAATCTTAACTGTCTAGCTAAAGTCACAATTATTTAAGCAATATACATGAATTACTTTCATAATAAATAAATAAATAAACATTTTTATGACTTGCGTACCTCACGTAAACTATATATTTTTTGCATGTGAAAAACCGGAATGAAACGCACACTATATAACTTTTTCATATTTTATTTTTCTATTTAACAACAGTTCATTGCGTGAAAAAGAGATAAAACGCCTGATGAACTTCAAGCCATTCTAGCTCGTGCTTTTATATTCTGAAGTCTAAGATACTAATTAAAACTTAATAATCTAAGCGTTTCAGTAAGCAGACCTTACTTTTTCAGGGGTAATTAAATACGAAAAAGCTCAGGCTGTTATTGTGTGTGTGTGTATGTACATGAGTATGTTTCTTATAATTTTGTAATGCAAGTTATTTCTTAAACTAACTTCTAAACATTAAATGCATTTTTGGAATTTTTAGTTCTCAAAATTATATATATATGCTTTAAACCTTTTCTTTAGTGTTATAAAAAATTGACTCATTACTTGAGCTACAGTTTCAAGACGCAGAAAACAAGACAGTTGAATGTTGATATATCGTTTTCTTATTTTTCGCGATTACTTATTTCCTTAATGAAAGGGCCAGGAATAACCTGATGATTAACAAGCCAGACAGTGAATCTGAGGGTTCATGTTTCGTGTCCCCTTGTCCCAAAAACACACTTTGCGCTTTGGGCATGTTGATGAGTTATAAGAATGGCTGTCAAATCCCACTATAATTACTAAAAAATGATCAAGTCCACGATTTTTGTTTGTAAATAGGGCCGAGTAATTGATCTAAAACCCATGCTTTTTATGAGCTCTGACTCTATAAAAAGATTCAAAATGGGCAAATCCAACTGCTTTGTAAGTCAATGTGTTGGGCACATGAAAGTTTATATCTGTGCAAATTTTCATCTTCATTACTGTAAATATGACCACACAGAAGCCTAAGTATACACTTTATATTGTTTGACCTTTGACTTCATAAAAATTCTTTAAAAAGATCTAAGTAATAAATAAAAAGGAAAAATATATTTCGGCATACGTTTCAAGCCAATCCGCTGAAAAATGGAGGAATGGCGGTCTATTGAAAAGTGTTTAAAAGAAGAAGAGAGAAACAATTGAAAAAAACAGTACGTCTTTCTGAAGGGACGTAATTATTCAGGGTTTTTAATTAAATGATAACATGTGTCAAAATGTAGACACATTTTATTTTTTTATTGAATTGAATCCAACTTGTTTATTCGTTTGTTGTTAAACACAAACCTGTATAAGGAGTATCTGTGCTGTGCCTACGGCGAGTACCGAACCCCGATGTTTAGCGGTATGGACACTCAGACTTGTCACAGGGCCACTAGGAGTCATACCTTTCGTACAGACCATTTATGCTAAGCTTCTGATTTATAAAGAACGTTCTGAGTTTTATTAACTGGTTGTTATGGAGCATTAAGAAAATTTACATAGAACGAGATTATTTCATATATGACTCCCAGTGGCAGTGTGGTAAGTCTGCAGATTTATAACACTAAAAACCGGGTTTCGATACCCTTGATGGGCGCAGTACAGATAGCCCACTGTGTTGCTTTGTGCTTAACTACAAACAAAGATTTCAAATTTCTTATAAGAATGAATAGTAAATCAGGAAAAATATATCTAATTAGGTAATTATGCCGAATATTATTGGGTTTACGGCCGAAAATATCGATTAGAGAGGGTAACCAACTGATGAAACAGTGCATTCTAATCTTTATAAGTAGATGCATAAGGAAAGTATATTCAATTAGCTATACTAATGACCAGGTTGACTTTTAGCTTAGCCCTAAGTGCATAGCTTGCACTGATCGGAAGTTATTATTATTATGTAAGCAGGCGAAAAGAGATTAGCATTTCATATACCTGGTTGCCATTTGTTTGAAACTGATTGCATTTTAATCATAATTAAGGTGTTTAAAAATGGTATTCGTTAATGAGTGATTAGCTAAGTATATAATTTTTGTGTTGACGGGAAAATCATTCGATAAAACCAATTTTAAATGTTTCGTTCAGATTAGATTTATGTTCACCATTCCAAGTATTTTGTAACACCATTTCAAATTAAAATCAAAAATACATTTATTGAAGTGACGTTTCGAGCAATTGTTCTCCTCAGCAGTAATTCGAAACATTACTTAAACAAGCTTTTTTACTTACTTCTTAATGCCGTAACCTTCCAAGTCGCGCATATTATACTCTTAATTAAAGCTATAATCAAGAGAAAATATATAGTATCATCAGACTCAAATGTTGAAATAACTTGCACTTATAACTACACATTGACTAAAAACTCATAAATACCACTTCCTAAAATTATTATGCAACCATAACAACAATAAAAAAGCAGTAGTTTTAATCATCCTAGTGGTTTCGTAAGCCAAAACTTCTGAAATTCACTAGAATAAAATAAGTTTTTAAGTAGTTATGTCATCAATTAGTGTTATATATTATTTTATATTATAAAATAGTCTCTTTACATTACTCTGTTATAAAGAGTTATATGCTATTTGTTTGATAATTTTACTTTAAAACCTATGTACCGGATTAATCAAATTTATTGTACTGAAAATTTAATAGATACTTCCTGGTAATACTGTATTATTCGCTATAATATTACACATCATTCATTACACCGATTCTAAATACATTAAGGTTATGTATTTTGATTTAACTTTTGTGGGAAAGGATTTTATAATTTCTTCCAATACCCTAAAAAAATTGAAACATCACAAACAATTTCATTGATTAATTAATTGATTAGTTAAATAATAATTCAAGTTCTAACACAACATTAAAAAGTGAAAACTTTGCCATTATTATTTATACATATATATATATCGCTATAAACCTAATAACTTATATGTGTTTAATTAATACATTGATACCAGTATCAAAAACACGATAATTCATAAACTAAAGGTCACATTAAAGTAGATTCGGCATGTACTAAGTTTCTAAAGCAGTAAATCTGGTACTATTCCTCAGTTCTCGTGAATCACATAATAATTTAAAATTCTATGATTTATTCTGACAGTTTTACATTTAGCTGGATATCAGTCATTAATTTTTGTTGTTTTATAAAATAGTTTTGGTCAGTATGTACTCTTTACGGCTAAAAAAGTCAATTTCATCACGTGTTTGTATGAAAAACAAAATGTTAACACACCACAGGGTGTGAGAACCAAGAAAGAATGAACAAAATAGAAATTGATATCTTAATGTATAGTATAGCTTTCTGTATTCGATTAAATACCCTTTTTATATATATATATGTAACTTTTTCTTTGACATGATATCTCGGGGTCTTGTTACAGGTTGTCTTCACTTTTGTATATTTACTTCGCTTTTTTTTTTACACAAGGTACAGTTGTAAAATATAGTATTCAAAAGTTGATCTAACTGCATTTATTTATACTTTCTTGTGAGTCTGTTTAGAACTTAGTTGCACTGAAATTGGTACAGGCTAAGGCACAGTTATTACAAAAACAGTGAGTTCAAATGTAATTTATAGGCAGTTAGTTTCGAATAAAAAAATTCTCGGCATACGAAACATTTCAGTTTCTCTTTACACTGTTGTTATCACTCATTTTTGTTGACTGGCGATGTATGAAAAATCCAAATAGAAAATTAGCAGTACCATTGTTTACGCACGTTTTTAGCTGGGATTCTTACTAAGTTTGCTAAAAATTCCGTGCACAAATTCTACAGAAACTTTCGGTATCATTTTCGTAATTACAAAACATTAAGTTGGTTGTTCGTCACTATGTAACAGTCATCTGATGGAAACTCTAAGGATACTAGTGATTAACCGAATCAAAAGATTAGCCTACTCAAATGCTAGTTAGAGTGTGCAGAAAACCATAAAAGTTTAATAAGCTCAGCAAGATTTGTGATTAAGAGAAATCAACTTGAAGAAATCAGTTTTAATCAACCCTTGAGAATATTGGCGTGGCCGCTCTGAATCAATGTGTAGTTTAAAAACTTATGCTAACAAATATGGGCCTAGCATGGCCAGGTGGTTCTGGAGCTCTACACGCAATCTGAGGGTCGTGAATTCGAATCCCCGTCCCACCATACATGCTCGCCCTTTCAGCCCTGGAGGCGTTATAACGTGGCGGTCAATCCCACTATTCGTTGGAAAAAAGTAGACCAAGAGTTGGTGGCGGGTGGTGATGACTAGCTGCATTCCCTATTGTCTTTCACTGCTAAATTAGGGCGGCTAGCGCAGGTAGCCGTCGTGTAGTTTTGCGCGAAATTCAAACAAACCAAATAAATAAAATGTGTATTTTTTAACATATTATTTTGTTTGTTAATACCGCGAAGTTTGTATATTTTCATGTTAAGACACATTTTTCTTTCTTGAGTTAATAACGCATTGCTGTTTCCTCTCGCATTATGACACATTTCCTCTTTTTTGTTAATACAGCACCATTGTTTGCTTTCGTATTAAGAAATATTTCCCTTATTTTTTGTTAATACCGCATTGTTGTTTACTTTCGTATTATCACAAGTTTTTCTGTCTTTTTTTTTGTTTTGTTAATACCGCACTGTTGTTTGCTTTCGTATTATGACATATTTCCTTTTTTCTGGTATTATCGTATTGTTGTATGCTTTGTATTATGAAATATTTCCTTCGTTTCTGTTAAAACCG